ATTTTATTCTCTTTCTCCCCCATTTAGAATGTAAACTTCATGGTTTTTTGACTGTTTTATTCATTGCTCAATTCCCAGCAATTGAGCCACACTCCAAGTGTGCCACAAACTAGATGCTGAGAATGAAAAACAAAGAGCAGTCCCTGACAATCGAAACCCAGTCTGGCACTCACAATTAGGCCATGTTATTCTCCAATTAGATGTAAGCAATCTCACAGAATATCAACCAGAGACAGGTTACTCTGAGACAAGGATACCATTAGACAATGCAACAACATTTCATAATTTTATCTAAGCACAGACAAAAACAAGGTCCCTGTGCCACCCACAAAATACCAAATTCCTCCTCTATTGGCCAAAATAAGTGACTGCTACTTCTTTACCAATTACAGCTTTATCCTCATTCCAGTCTCCCCTCACTTAAGATTTACTGATTTATTTGTATCAAAATATAGAAATCTGAGGCAATTCTATTAATAACAGCATCCAATCTAGAGCAAACCAGCTTCCATAGATCTTCCCACAAATGACCCAACCAAAGCCAAAATTCTATAATAAGTTCTTTCTATTACCCTCTTACTCAGACACCTTATGTTGTATGTTCTTCCACATTGCAATTAGTAATAAAGCCAATATGCTCAACTATAGGAGTGTTCCTGGTGGTCTGTGGCTGGAGGGCATTGGTAGTGCTCAAAATATATTTGTTGAATGAAGGAAGGAAAGAAGGGATATCTTATGAATATAATGTTCCTGATGCAATAGTCACTAATTAAATATATTGCCATCTACTCAAGGGTTAAACATTCTGAATTTAATGGAAGCTCCAAGCTGTTTATCTCTACTTTATCAAATTCACTTAATCAAGTTCTTACGGAAATTTAGTTTTAATCCAGTCTCTCTCCAGAACTAGCAGTTAACAAATCTATGAAATGATTGTACCCAAAGATGCCTGTCCAGTTATTCAGGTATAAAAGTATCCTGGATTTTCTTTCATCTGGTGTAAGTCAATACTGCTCGGAAAGAACAAACACCTCCAAAGCAAATGTCACTTCAGGATGAAACTTGGTAAACAGCCTGAGTCCCCTTTCCCCTTTTCACTTTCTATTAGCTTTAAAGTTTAAATAGATCGAATACACTCCTCCTCTATCTGTGATCTACACTCTGAACTTAATACTTTACTTATAAGCATGGAAAGTGGCATGAACATCCAAAACTTACTTATTTTAATTACTTGTTATGTACCCACCATACACTATCCTGAAGTTATTAGGGATACGATGAGGTATAAAGCCATTGTCCATTTACTTAAAGAGCTCAGAATGTATATGAGGAGATGCCAGGTTCTATCTCACTATATAATGAAAGAAAGGGTTTATATTTTTCATTTATGCATAAAAAAGAAACACACTAGAAATGACTTTAATTCATCTCATCTATATCAAAGAAAGTGTATTCTTTTCTAAGCCCTAAGGGGAAAATATATCCTGCTTTTTGATTCTCCCTAATCCTCCCCTGGCAGACACCTTGATACAAATGCTGGCAGCCTGTACATATTAGCAACTCAAATAGATCCCTAAGAATAGTACAGGAAAAGATATACCCCACTAGAGTTGGTGACAATCACTCTGTTCACAGGAAAATCTCTGGGGTTTGTCTCACCATCCTTAAACAAAAAGCAAACTGGGTTTATGTTCTCAATACTTTCAGGAGGTTTTCAACATTTGCTGATTGCTTAATTCCTTTCAATGGAAGGGGGTCACATCGATATCATCTCTACCTTATAAAGTTCATTTAATCAAGTTCTTACTGAAATTCAGTTTTAATCCAGTCTCTCTCCAGAACTAGCAGTTAACAGATCTATGAAATGACTGTACTCAAAGATGCCTGTCCAGTTATTCAGGTATAAAAAGGCACCCATTATCTACCTCCATTGGGTCTTATGCTGTAGTGTGATGCAGAGTGAACAGGTTTTCTGCAACTTGGAAATCTATGGACAATGACCCAGAACATTGATATGGACATACTGAAAAAGACAGCTGAGCAAATATTAAAGAAGTCCAACAAATTAATAAATAATATTAACATTTCCTACAAGTAGACGTGAGTACATAACTTTAACTGGGATTATTGTCAGGGAACCTTGAGGAGTGTGTGCTCAGACTGGATAAGGCCATGGAGAATTCACAACCTTTTCCTAATTAATCATCATGCATTGCAGCAGGCTGATAAAGTAAATCTGACTTTCCCACAACATATTCTGAACCTGTTTTGGAGACCAAAAATTTCCCCAGGAGATCAGGACCTATGAACATTCTCATGTCAATTACTCATTGCTGGCTAAAGCCAAAAGCTCTCACAACTCTGAACCCTTTTCAAATTAAGGGATTGAGGCCCGGTGTGGTAGTTCACACCTGTAATCGCAGTAGTTTGGGAGCCTGAGGTAGGAGGATCACTTAAGGCCAGGAATTTGAGACCAGCCTTGGCAACATAGTTAGACCTTGCTTCTACAAAATGAATTTAAAAATTAGCTGGGCATAGTGGCACATGCCTGTATTCCTACTCAGGAGGCTGAGACAGGAGTATCCCTTGAGCCCAGGAATTGGAGGCTGCAGTGAGCTATGATGATGCCACTGCACTCCAACCTGGGTAACAGAGTGAGACCCTGTCTCAAAAAATAATAATAATAATTAAATAAGTAAGGGAATAAAACTAATTTCCCTCCTTTACTTCAACCAAGCAATCAATAAAAAATATTATTTGTAAAATGCTCTACAATGTAGAAAGTGCCTTTTTCCTGCATTTCTCTTTTGAGCCTCATAACAGATAAGTAAGGTATATCTATCAACCAACAAACAATTATCTGGTGCTAGTGGTGGCAAGTCCAGTGCAATATACCTATGCACAGAATCATATGATTGTCTCTGCCCTTAGCAAGTTTATGATCCATTTACAAGGCAAGGTTGTCCAATAGATACTTAGAGAAATGAAGATTAATGAAGACAGGCCTGGTTAGAGAAGCGTCATCCAAGATGAAATGCCAGTGAAATTGGAAAGGATGCCAGGGTTGTGGTGAAGAAGCAGCAGCAAGGGCACTTGGGGAGAGGGCAAGGGAGCCCATGGGAAGGCACAATTGTGTTAATGTGGAAATCTGAAAAGTAGTAAAAAAGAAGTGAGAAATTGGTCCATGCAGCACTCAGCACAGGCTTTAAAAATATAAGAAGCACTCAGTAAAGACAAAACTGAAAAAAGAAGTTGGCCTTAGCTAAGCAGTGAACTTTCCCCAGTCTTACCAATCAGATAATCACTGTTTTTTCCATGGAAGGCAGAAGTTTCGTCCTGAGTATTTCCCCCAGAGGGTAGAACTCTCAGCACAAGTTCCTGTCTTATGAGTAGGAGTTCTAATATGTTTTGATTCTATGAAAAGGGAAACCACTGAAAATTTTTCAATTGGTATATGAAAGCAGTGTTTAAGGAAAATTAATATGGCCGTGGTATGCGATTTAGGTTAGAGTGAAGGAAGAATGATATAAGTGCATATGGCTAGAACTCAGTTCAGGGATAATGAGGACCATTAGGGGAGTCTTCAGTGAGAAAGAGAAAAAAGGTAAACAATAAAAGAGTAAATTAAAAATAACTACATAGTTCAAATTGATAGGGCTTGATGATTGATAAGATAAAAAGGGGAGAAAAACATACCAGATTGTACTCTATGGCTTAAAATTAGAAGAACTCTGGGGAAACATTGCTAGTGACAGAAATGGAGATGAGAACCAATGAGATTGTAGTAGAAAAATAGAACTCTTTTGGTGAGATAATATCTTTCCTTCATATCTTACAATGTCAATGAGGAACCATAGTTAGTTTGTTAGCCTCTTCCTGGAAAAAAGGGGCTCTCTCTCAAAGAAGATGGAAGACAAATACCCAGAGATGTCAAGATATATGGCCAGTGTGGACTTTTCTAAAGCCCTACACTTGGCCTGGCAATGTTCCAGTCCAAAGAGCCAACTGTGAGCAGGTGCTAGGGAAAGTTAAATGACAAAGTTTGATGAAAGAAGGTGCAGGAACACCAAAGCCACTGCTCTGCTACTCAGTGGGAGCATGCCCAGAATTACATAGAGTATTTCTGTGTCTGCAACGCAATCATTATCACTTCTACCTCCACTCACATCAACTCCGCCTAACTCTAGTTAGGGAGAAAGAGAACAAAGCAACTCACAAGAAGATAGGGATGAGGACAAGTGTTTAAAAGGATTTTGCAAAGGCTGTTGGCACACTTTCCGGATGATCATCTGATGGACCTAGTAAAAATGAATACTAGCATGCAGATAATCTGTACTGGGTGGATTTGTTTCCTTTTGTTTTGTCGAGAAAGGAGGACAGATACTAAGTTGCTCCCTGTTTCCATATATCATGGTACTGTTTTATTTAAGTTGTTTTAAAAAAATATCGGATTCAATATAGCTGCTGTATTTTTCTCAGTGCTCATATCACTGTCTAATTCAAATTTTCTAAATAAAACAAATAAGAGATGCTTAACACATTACAAGTTCTTAACCTTATAAGTTGTGTTCCTCAATATTTATTTTGCTCAAAAAAAATTAGGTTCGTGGATTCATAGACTTGTGTTAATATCTAGCTCAGGCGTTAAATTCTCTTAATTACAACAGTCGTGCCCTTGTAAATCTTGCCCCACAATGGACTACATTTCCCAAGAACACACACCAAAGGAATTTCATGAAGTGCATGATGGGAATTGTAGTCTTCGGTGTGTCTCTTTTCTCCCAGCCTTTGACTCACGGTCTGATTCTGGGATGGTTGAAACCAACGCTACCAATTAGCTGGGGCCATGTAGGTGAGGCCGTGGCCCAACCGGGAAAGCGGCTGTGGGAGCCTCGCACAACGATTGGCCAATGGACGACCCCGGGGCGGGGCAACGAGGCAGGCGGGGCAGCCAAGGCGATTGGGCGAAGACCCCGCGGCGGCGGGCGTGGATTGGCTGCGCGCTGGGTCAGGGTGGCCTGGGAAGGGGCGGAGGAAGGAGACTAGAGCAGGAAGAGCAGCGGCGAGGCAGCGGCGGCGGAGTCCGTGGTGGCAGAGGCGAAGGCGACAGCTCCGCGGATTGGCTGCGGCCGCGAGAGCAGGATGCGGGTCCGGTTTGGGCTGACGCTGCTGCTCTGTGCGGTGCTGCTGGGCTCGGCCTCGGCGTCCTCGGGTCAGTATCCGCCTCCCTGGGCTGAAGGCCTGGAGCCGCCGCCCCCCGGCCTCCATCTGTGGGCAGGGCCGTGGGGTCTCCAGGCTCCCGACTCCACTTTCTCTGGTCACACCTCGCACTGGGCTGTCACTCGCTCTTTGGGCTTCGGTTGACCTGGGCCAAAAGGGGAGTTTAGGATGCTGGAGGGGGGAGCACAAGAAGGGGAGATCACCCTGCCCACACCGCTCTCCCACCTGACGAACTTTACGCGACTCCTTCTCACAAATGAGCAATTGACTCCACGGGAATGAATCCCGACAACTGGTTTAGACCCATAATGACACATGAGCCGGAGTGGTGCTTCCTCGACCCTCATGTAGATTATGTGCTGCATTGGATCTGGAACCCTGGGTTTGGGATTTGTTAAGTTGAGTAATTGACAACACCTGAAGCTGTCACTTCTGGCAGAGCAGGGTCCATCAAGACCAGGATGTTGACAGTGGTTTGGTGAGTTTCTTATCACCTGAGATAGTCCTTGCTCTATTCGTCTGTATAAAAACGAAGACTTTGATCAAAATTGTAGCCACTCCCTATCCTCTTTTTAAAACATTCCTGAGAAAGTGGTGATCTCTGTCACACTGTTTTCTTAGTTGCCCCACATTTATTGACAGTGGTTTTATAATTTTTGAGAAAAACCTTAGTTTTTATAAAATGAATAGCAAATAGTTTGAACGTTTTTATATACATAAAGAAATTCACGTGCTTCTGCATTGATTTTACAGTTAGCTGATTTATACTCTGGTTCTGAAAATGATTTTTTTTCTTTTTTGTTATTTTAATGTGCCCACATCTAAAAACTTCCATTTGGGGAGTGTTGACAAAAAATACTTAGACTTTTAAGTGTTGGTAAAGAAAAATTAGTACAGTAATGCTTTGGAATTTTAATAGTTTCAGTTAACAAGACAGCTGTTCTGTGGCTTTACATTTTTTTTTGGAACAAGGCAGAGTATAAATGTCAACTCTTTTTTTTTTTTTCACAGAAAATTCCCCAGATGGTTATTTCAATCCCCAAATTATCTGTCCTCGTTGTAAATCAATGCCATAACATCATTTTGCTTCTAAAATAAGAGGCCTAAACCTAAGATTCTATCCATGATGTGGTTTGAGGTACTATTTCAGAAGCAAGAAACATATGCTAATTACTTTACTGCCAACATCATGCTTTGAGGTCCAGTCCCCTCCCTCCATTTGTAATGATGGTTTGCATTTATGACCAAATCTTTGAAGGCTATACATAATTCTTAAAGCACTTCTAGCAGTTATTTGAAGAAAAGAAGTATGAAACAAGGTGTTGAGTTTAATGGGTAGAGTACCTAGTGGACCATGGCCCCTCTGCATCAGAATTCCTTTTATGAGTTTGTTAAAAATTTAATTTTTAAGACGATTAACAATCTGCAGATACCTGATTCTTCACAGTAAACTTTGAGAACTTCAGAAATTAAAGAACATGGTGTATATCCCTCTGAATTCAATTTTCAGAGTTTAAAGAAAATTAAAGCATGGTAATTTTCCTAAATCTTTCTTTATACTTCATATACTTAGAGCTCCATGCCAGTGAAGATGATACTTAAAGATCAACAGTTGGGACTCTCAGGGTGTTATAATAAAAGACTATTAATACTGAAATTTAGATTTTGGGGTTGTACTTATGTAAGTAGAGGACTGTTTTCAGAAATGTCTGCTCTCATAGTTAGAGCTGTGCCAAAATATTTCTCTGGTAAAGGCAAAAACCTTACTTAGCCAGAATTAAAACCATATAGGTGTGCATGCTAAAGGGTAATAAAGGCAGTACTGTGCTCACATGAAGTTCAAATATCATAAGACCCTTGTGTGAGATAAAGGTTTATAAATTAAGTGCTGGATTTTCAGCTGCCTTTTTATTCAGTAAAGTGCTTATTTATACAGGATTTCAGCCTCATTTTAAAAGTTTAGATATAAAGTTTTGCTCCAGTATAAAAATCAAGTTTTTGGTGATAATTTTGTGTTCGAATGTTAGTGGTTACCCAGGCAAGTTGTGTCTATTACCAGGTAGAAAATTGTTAGCCAACAAAGGGAATCTTGATTCCATCACTGTTACTAGCTGTTATCTATTATTTTGTTTCAGAGGCATATAAAAATATGATACAGTCACGTGCCACATAATAACATTTTGGTCAAAGAGAGACCACATATAAAACAGCTGTCCCATAAGATTATAATGAACCTGAAAAATTCCTATCCCCTAATGACATCATAGCTGTCAAAATGTTGGAGTGCAGTTTATTTGTTTATAAATTTAAGGTAGCATAAGTGTACAGTTTTTATAAAGTCTGCAGTAGTGTACAATAACATCCTAGGCCTTCACATTCACTCACCACTCATTCACTGACTCACCCAGAGCAGCTTCTAGTCCTGGAAGCTCCAGTCATGGTAAGTGTTCTGTACAAGTGTACTATTTTTTATCTTTTATACAGTATTTTTACTGTACTTTTTCTATGTTTAGATATGTTTAGATACACAAATACTTACCATTGTGTTACAGTTGCCTACAGTATTCAGTACAGTAACATGCTGAACAGGTTTGTAGCCAAGGAGCAATAGGGTATGCCGTAAAGTTAGGTGGGTAGTAGGCTATACCCTCTAGGTTTGTGTAAGTACACTCTATGATGTTAACACAGTGACACATTTCTCAGAACATATCCCCATTGTTAAGTGACATGACTGTACTTATATTAGAAATGTTTTACCTGTGAATAAATAAATTTAAAGGAGGAGATTAATAAGATTTTTTAATTTTCTCAAGATAATAATGAAAAGGCTATAATTTTTCTCACTTAGAAATTATTTTGTCAGGAAGAAGAAAATGGTTTACCCTCTTTTTTCTTTGTGCCAAACAATGTTAGTCTTTTTTAATTAGGTCCACTGCCAGGTAGTTCAGGTAATAATTTATTAATACCATAACTTTAGAGAATAGTTTTCAGATTGCAGAAGATTTTTAGTTTCATTATTTTAGTTCCTTAAACCATCATTGAGAGGCAACAGGACAGATGATATTATCCCCTTTTGACAGATTGAGAAATGAAGGCTGAACAAGCTTTTGATATTGAACCATGTGTGTCAAAATTGATGTGTGAGGAACCCAGCTCTCCGGGCCTCAGAGTTGGAGAAATTTAGAATCAAGACTATCCTAAGATCTGCACAGATTCAGTGCCTAAGCAGAAGACAGAATGTCTTGTCTCTTTTCACCAAACTGTTTAGACTTTCTGTGTTCGAAAGTCGTTTGTTTAATTTACATGACAGGTGGGGAAATGAATTTGTAATGATCACTTTTCCCTGAAAGAATATCCCTGGTGCTTTGCAGCTATCTTAGCTGATATAATAAAATAAAGAATTGATCTTTTTCAAAGGAAGGTGTATAATTGATAAGGTAATGTGGCCTATTATATTTTGGATGTGATACTGATGAGGGAGAAATCTATAACTTCCTTGAATCCTTTTGCATTTTTTTCTTGTTTGATTTCTGTGTTCCGATAAAAGCATTACTGTTTGCTTTTTTATTTATGTATAACTTCAATCTCTTTAATCTTTATTACATATTAGAAGTTCTTAGGTGATAAGCAACTTTTTAAAAAGTGTCATGTGAATGTGTGTATCAGTTTGAAAGAGAAAATAGCTTATGCTTTAAGACTGCCATCTGGAGTAGGCTTTCCCAGTTTAGTAACTGAAAAAGAATTCTCTTATTTACTGGTAATATTAGTATATATTCTTAGTTTGTGAAGAGAGAGGGAGAGAAAGAAAGAGAAGATGATGCAATTCACTTGAAATAACCCTGATGTCACAAATCATGTCTCTTGGAGTTCAGAAACATATTTTGCTACTCTAATGCCTAACAGCTTGTAATGTTTCAATGTACATGTCTTTAAATTTATTTATAGCTATCTACAATATTTACTTATTAGTTATCTATCTGACCTATTGTGGTAAGGTACTAAATTTAGTGATTAGTCATTTAGAGTTCCAACTGAAGTTTCAGTATATGGGGATATATTGTATACATTTGAAAATTTAATATCTGCTTTTGATATATAAACTAGTTGATATTTTGATTAACTGCATGTATCTGTACATACAACTTTGATATGTAATAGACATGAATATTTTCCTTTGAAATTTGCTGAGAATGGAATCTGAACTGTCTGTTAGAACTTGGGCTTTAGGTGATATTTGTGAAGAAGTTAGCATGGAGGATGATTGTTAATTGTCTTCACTACCACTAAGTGTTATGAGCACTGTGGGGACTAATACATACCATACCCTTCTCCTTTCCACCTACCAAAAATTAAACAGACTTTGAAGATAATCTAAAAGTAAGTGAATGAATAGTAACTATAATTTGAATGTTTTTTAATTGACAGCACCTTCATATCTGGCAAAACCTTTTTAGTAGACTGGTTTTTTCAAATATTCAAAAGAAATGGGAGGGGTAAAAAAAAGAAAAAGAAACAAATATTGTAAGATAGTTGTATGTTTTGTGCATAATGGAGTTGGTTATACTTCTTAAAGTCAGCTCAGTCCTTTGGTAACAAACTCCAAAACATATTTTTGTTATATTTTAGACAGTTATAAGTTATAAATAATATTTGGGAAAAACCATATGAAGTAAAGATAAATGGCAACTATACTACCTAATTTTCTAGTGAAAATTACATGGTCTTACAGCATTTTGTCTATGATTAATTTCTCACATAGCTTATGAGAAGGCAATACAGAAACTCACTCCTGGATAAAATCAGGTAATTTTAAGAGCAACTAGGAACTTTAGCATCTGACAGATTTGTTTTAAACTGGGAGGGAATACAAAGATCAGACATTTGCATCTGGATATTGAGTTGTGCGTGTGTTTACATAGGAGCAGGAAAAAGAATAACAAGCAGCCAGAATAGAAGTAATATCTGGAAAACACAGAAAGATTAATAGAATGAAAATTAATGTAATCAGACAAAACCAAAGCAGACTGTAAATTTGGAAGAAAGGTGTAACTAGTGGCTGGATTTGTGACTTGTTTGATATAAGCTATTGATCTCTTAATACATAGCTCTAATGTCAGTGAATACATAATAGTATGATGCTACTTTTTATCTGTATTTGCTTATCTCTTAGTGAAGTAAAACACATATCCTAAATATATTTTCTTGGCAACTCAGCTGTCAAATAATAATAATAGGTTGGGTGCAGTGGCTCACCCCTGTAATCCCAGCACTTTGGGAGGCTAAGGCAGGAGAATCACTTGAGACCAGGAGTTCAAGACCAGCCTGGGCAGCAGGTGAGGAAGACCCAATCTCTGAAAAAAAAATTATTATTATTACTATTAGTTTCCATCCTCAGTAGTAATAAAATGCTAATTAGCCCAAAAATAAGTGCTACTGTAACTCCAAGTTCTGAGCAGAGGAACAGAATAGGTGGAAGCCTGGAGTATGAAATTAGAGATATATTTTTATGAATTTAGTAACTCATTCTCAGTAATAGACTATACACACAAGAACTGAATGGAATCTGGAGAATTCCCTTTATTTTCTAGGGAATGTCTTCCCTAGAGAAAAAAAAAAAAAAAAACTATGAATACCCTCCCAACCCATATTTTTTCCTTTCACTTAACCTTTTCTGAATAATTTTTAATACAACCAAATTTTAAATAATTCTAGGTTTACTTATCCAGTGTCTGATTATTATTTGCTGTATTTATTTGCTATCTATATTGTGCTTTCTTTTAATAGTACCCATACTTTCCCAATAGGAAAGATGACTAAATGTCTTAAAATTTCTTTGCAGATGAAGAAGGCAGCCAGGATGACTCCTTAGACTCCAAGGTGTGTACTAAAATTTGTATTTGTCAGTATTTTTTACCCAACTTAAAAGCGTAAATTATGTTCCTTAGGATATGACATCTGCATCTCTTGAGTAACAGAATTGAATTAAAAAGAACAAAAAAAGATAGATGCTATCAATATTAATTCTAGTTCTTCTGGGGGAAAAAAAATCACTGACCTACCAGAGAGAACAGTAAATATTTCCATTAAGGGTGTTCACTGTCAGGTTTAATTTCAACTTTACTGTTCAGTGTGTGTGTGTGTGTGTGTGTGTGTGTGTGTGTGTGTGTGTGTGTGTGTGTGTAAAAGGCTTAAAGCACTAAAATTTGTACTGCCTAATGAGAGATTGGGGTTTTTTTGAGTTTTTAGTTTCTTTCAATTTTGAAGTCTTAACCTCTGCCATTTATTTCCACTTAGCAATTTTCAAAAAAAAAAAAAAAATCTAATGAGTTAATATGCTTCTTGATTGATTAAATGAATAAAGCTGATTCTTAGATATCCAAAGAGGCCAATCAGTTATGAGCGCTGATCTCTAGATTTGAGGAAATAAAGATAAAAGTAGGATATTACAATACAGGGTTATCATAGGGGAAGTATAAGATGTGTAGGGGGAGAACCTAACCTAGACTCTGGGAATTAAGGAAGGCTTCCTGGGGAAAATAACATCTAAGTTGAAATTCGAAGAAAGAGTAAGAGTTAGGCAGGTGATGAAGGCATGTGACAAACACACGCTAAAACTGATAGAGACGGATGAGTGTGGCACTTCACAGAGCTAAAGGAGACATGATATCTAGGATTAGTAAAAGTAATGGTCAAAAAAAGTTGGAGAGATTCTTGGTATCGTTGATAACTAAAGATACGTTATATTCTCAGACTTCTTTGCCATCAGATGAGTCAGTAAAGGACCATACCACCACAGGCAGAGTAGTTGCTGGTCAGATATTTCTTGATTCAGAAGAATCAGAATTGGAAACTCATGTTCAAGAAGAGGAAGACAGCCTCAAGAACCAGGAGGGAGAAAGTGTCACAGAAGAAATCAGCTTTGTAGAATCTGCAAATCCAGAAAACAAGGACTATGAAGAACCAAAGAAAGTACAGAAACCAGGTTAGTTTGGACATTTTCTTTGCTTTATTTTTTTTTTGCCTTATGAGGAAGGAGACAACTGAAATTTTAAAGGTAGTGAATGAGGAAGCTGAAGAAGGCTGGTTTTACCGAATGTTAACCACATATAATATATATGAATGTAATTTTATGGGATTGTCTAGATTTTAATATATCAAAGTTACTTAACAGATTTGACCCAAATTATATAAGCTGAACTCAGATAAAACTGCATTTGTATTATATTAATATCCTAACATTTCTTTTTAGACTCCAGTATATGAACAAATTTCTGAGAAAGTTTAAAAAATAATCGGTCAGGGTGGTATACAAAGGAGAAACTCAGGAAGAATTGTCTAGCATGCTACTTTGGTTATTTTCAGAATTGTGTTAGATTTTTTACAATAATAACCTTGTCAGTTATCCTAGGTAATTTGATTTAGATGTTTATCCTTCTCCAATTGAAGCTTATGTAAACTTTAATCCTCTTGTAACTATCACCTTGACACTTCTACTTTTAAATTTAAAACTTGATCTTTTGCACAGTGGTGTGCTAAATAACTATCCTTTAAAAAATTAATTATTAATATGTCCATTCTGCTTTGCCTGTCTACCCTTTTGTTATTTAGTTTATTTTAAAGATCACTGCATTACCCACTTCTTATTCCATTATTAATCATTCTCAGGAACTGATCTGGATTTGCACTTTAAAAATTTGAACTTTTTTACTATAAATATACCATACTCATAAATAGAAAAATTATTTTTTAAAAATTTAAAGCGCCTTAATCCCATGAACTAGAAATTACAGCTATTATTAACATTATAGAGAATCTCAGGCTTTGTGTGTGTGTGTGTGTGTGTGTATAAATAACTTAAGAAAACTAAATTGGATCAAAATATATATACTGTTTCACAGCCTGTATTTTGTACTTAACAGTTTACCATAAACATTTTCCCATGTCCTTTAGTATTCTTTTACAATTTAATAGTTAAATAGATTATTTACGGTATTCTGCTGGGGGATCGTTTTAGATGCATCCTGTGTACAGCAATGAAATTTTCTTAGAATTCTTAAAAGCAAATTTGTTGGATTAAATGTAAAATTTTAAGACATTTGATACATATTGTTAAATTGTTCTTGAGAAAAGTAATTCTGTTTACTTCCTTTGAAAATACCATTTTCCTGTACCTCAGCCAATTTTAAATTTTAAATTGTTTTAAAATGTTTGCCAAATATTATAGTTGAATTCATTCCCTTTTTATTTTAGTGAGTTTTTGAACCTGAACAGAAGTAGAGGGTATATGTAATAGACATGAATATTTTCATGACCCCCCCACCCCACCCCCATACTCACCTGTCTCCCAGCTTTAACTGCCTCAGCATTCTGCTTTTCTCATTTCATCTTTACCACCCCACACACATTTGCTCTTTTTTTCTTTCCTAGAGTATTTTAGAGAAAACTCCACATGTTCTTTTACCTATGTATACATCTCTAAAAGTAAGAATTTTTTTTTAACAAAATCACAGAATCAGCCATTAGTCCTTTATCACCTAATACCCAGACTGTTCAGTCTTACCATTTGTTTCAGGTATTTTTTAATAATTGGTTTGTTTGAATCAGCATCCAAACTAAGATCTTAGGTTTCTCCTAATCTGTAATTGTTCTTCCTTCCTTGTTTTATTTATTTATTTATTTATTTGAGACAGAGTCTCACTTTGTTACCCAGGCTAGAGTGAGTGCCATGGTGTCAGCCTAGCTCACAGTGACCTCAAACTCCTGGGCTCAAGGAATCCTGCTGCCTCAGCCTCCCGAGTAGCTGGGACTACAGGCATGCACCACCATGCCCAGATAATTTTTTCTGTGTATATTAGTTGGCCAATTAATTTCTTTCTATTTATAGTAAAGACAAGGTCTCGCTCTTGCTTAGGCTGGTTTCGAACTCCTGACCTCGATCAGTCTGCCTGCCTTGGCCTCCCAGAGTGCTAGGATTACAGGCGTGAGCCACCACGCCTGGCCTGCTTCCTTGTTTTAAAGTGTCATTTTATTTGTTAAAGAAATGTGTGATGTCCTTTGTGCTATACAGTTTCATACATTTGGGATCTAGCTGGGCATGTCCTGATTATGTCATTTAGTTTATTCCACTGTCTGCTGTATATTCTATAAACTGAAAGTTAGCGGTAGAGGCTTGGACAGATTTGGTTCCATATTTTTATTGAAAGTTTTTCATAGGTGGTATTGTCTACTTTCTACTGCATTATGTTGGAGGCATACAGCATCTGATTTTCCGACTTTTAGTGAGTTAAGATCAGTGAGATCAGTTTGTCAGCCTGATCCAGCCATTGTAAAGTTCCTCATTGATTTTTTTGCATAGAGGTTTTGGCAGTCATTTATGTTGTCTGGATCCTTTATTTCATTAGGGGTTACAAAGTGGTGACTTTCTAATGCTACCATACCACCTGCATTTCTTACCTGGAATTTTTTTATAAAGAATTTTCCCTCATCAAGTATGTTATTACTCTGAAATATAGTGCATCTGGGGAAAGCAAGATACACTCTTAATTCTTTCCCTTGAAAATGTTTTCACATAAGAATTTAGTGCCCGAGCAGCCTCCAAAGGAGACCAATGAGTTTTTTGTTTATTTAATTTGCTCTGCTTTGTTTTTGAGCATTGTAAAAATATAGGACAAACCAAACCAAAGTGTTTTTCCTACTCTCACTCTCTGAGTGAACACTTCTGACACCAGATGCATGGTGATATTTTCCTACACACCAAGCAAGTAATTAGTTCTGCAGCAGATTCTCCAAAAGATACCACTTGGATGTCCTCCAGTTTAACTCAATTCTGACACTATTTACCTGGAGACAGCTTCAGATCCCACTGGTTGAGGGCTCAGTCCCATGAGACTACCCACTACTTGAGATGCCAACCTCAAGTCTCAGGTTATTTGCCTACACTTCTGACTGTCTGGCTATAAATTAGGGTTCTAACAATCTCCCTTGTTGGGTTTAGTTAATTTGCTAGAACTTAGAATTCTGGGAAATATAGTAAAATGGATAAATTTACATTTCTTCATTTATTATAAAGAATATTACAAAGGATACAGATGAACAGCCAGAGGGAAGAGATGTGTGGGAGAAGGTATGGGAAAAGGGGCATGGAGCTTTGGTGCCCTCTCTGACCTGATTGTCTCACTGTCCACAAGTATCTTCGTGTTCAGCTCTCTGGAAGCCCCCAGAACTCAAATCTTATTGGGTTTTTATGGAAGCTTTGTTGTGTGGGCAGGATTGATTAAATCATCGGGCATTGTGTTATCAGCTCAGCCTTCAGCCCTTCTATCTTCCCAGGAGATTGTGGGGTGGGACTGAAAGTTTCAACCCTCTAATCTCGGTTGGTTCCTCTGGCAACCAGCCCCCACCTAGAGACTATCTGGGAGCTTCCTGCCACCCATCATTCATTAGCTTACAAAAGACATTCTAATCACTCCAGAGATCCAAGGATTTTAGAAGCTATTTGTCCAGAAGCAGGATGAAGACAGACCATTTATATCTTTTACAATATCAGAAGCATCATTACAAATGCATGGATTTTTATATATAGTCAGCTCTTCGTATCCATGGATTCCGTTCCGTGGCTCAACCAACTAATTGAAAATATTTGGAAAAAAATATGAATGGCTATATCTGTACTAAACAAGTACAGGCTATTTTTGTCATTATTTGCTAGCCTAAACAATATATTAATAATATAACAACTATTTACATTAGCGTTTACATTGCATTAGGTATTATAAGTAATCTAGAGATGATTTAAAGTATAAGAGATGTTAGGGTGGAAATCTCCAGTAGGTGCTCATGGCGCCGATGGAGAAAGATTTCTCATGTAGAAATTAAGATATAAAAGTTTAAAAAGTTTATTTTTTCTTCTCAGAAGGCTTGAGAGTATGAGAGAGGAGAAGGGGTGGGGGGAAGAAAGCAGGCAGCCAGTGGTATCCCAAAGAGAAGGGGGTGCTAGTAGTGAGGCCAAGTGGCTTGCTACTTTTATAGCAGGCAGCTGCAAGGTGTCGGGTGTCTTTCTTGTTTCTCTGTTCCTGGAGACTTGGTTATCTCTGAAATATAATCAGGCTTATCTCAGGGGATGTGATTTTGCCTCTGAGATGTGGTTTGGGTCAGGAAACTAAGACCTGAAGTTTGCCCCCCTGCTGTCACCCTGGAGCTTCTCAGGAACTCCTAGAGACTATGAAACAAATTCTAAATGCCGTGAGCAGGTGAATGTAAAGAGAAAGATTTACATTTTTTTTCTGTCCTTTTGGCTCTTTTCAGATGTTTTGAAAACAGTCCCTGAAAGTTGCCGGCTAGCTATGGAGAGAAAGTGACAGAAAGCTCATAGGATTGATCTTTAGCTGTTCCTAGAAAATTACAGGATTAAATATTTTCCTGTTATTTCAGCAGGGCCACCCTTACGGGATAATGTGCATAGGTTATATACAAATACTGTACCATTTTATACAAGGGACTTGAGCATCTGTGGTTTTTGATATCCGAGGGGATCCTGGACCTAATCCACAATACCCCACTGATACTGGGGGAGGGTCACACCTTGCCTGACAAGGGGGACACGCTCTGAGAAATGCATTGTTAGGCAATTTCATCGTTGTGCAAACATCATAGAATGTACTTGCACAAACCTAGATGGTGTAGCCTGCTACACACCTAATCTGTATTATATAGCACATTGCTCCTGGGCTACAAACCTGTAGAGCATGTTACCTACTGGATACTTGTAGGCAGTTATAACATAATGGTAGGTATATGTGTATCTAAATCTATCTAAACATAGAAAAGGTACAGTAAAAATACAGTATAAAAGATAAAAAATGGTACACCTGTCTAGGGCATTTACCATGAACAGAGCTTGCGGGACTAGAAATTGCTCTGGGTGAGTCAGTGAGTAGTGAGTGAACGTGAAAGCCTAGGACTATACCGTACACTACTGTAGAC